GTTGAGAAATCGAGCTTTGAAAATCGGCCAAGGGGGTGTGTTATCTTGTGTCATATACGGTATGCCCGTTCGAAATCCTGCAATATTGAAAGGCATGTGTCGGAAAAAAATTACAGAAGGGATGTTGAGGAACACCTGCTCGGTAATTTTCTCAATTGGGCTGTTTAAAGCCTATCGTAAGTACACGAAAAGATCAATGATGGCAGTGTTTTTTTCTGTCTCCCTTTCCTGACTCCTGGAGATGCCCACTTGGGACGGGAGGCGGGAGGGACGTTCCGTTTTACCTCAGACAAAAAGCTCTGAGGCATGGACATATTTTTCGTCTAGAACAAAACGCACGCCTTGTGGGACCCTGCGCGGCGAACGCGTAATACTGGTTGTTCAGTGCGCACGTCCGCCCGTGCGTGGATGCGTACATACGGGGATACCCTTGTCGGTTTCACTCATGGGTATATTTATACTAGCGGTGCCGCAAACGGGAACAGCACAGACACCGCCGCCGACCGAGCATACGTATGCACAACGTTGTTGCAACCAAACGACAGAGGCTAGCCTATATCCACAGCACGAGCAACGAGAAAGGCTGGAAGGCACAACGGATTTTCCAGCAGGCAACCAAAGCCACGCTTGATTGACGCACCCTATTTACGGTCGACCTCGGTCGTCTCCTACCCCGATTGTCAAGCGATCCGGCTGAGCGTCGTTGCGGATGTTTTTGCGGTTCTACCACCTTGCTACACCGGTTATTTTTGCTTTCGGGGCTTTGTGCGTGCAAGTAGAGCAAATTTCTCTTTAGCAATTTCCCACACTTTTGCCCACTCGTTTACATATTGTACGGTAAGACGACCGTTTTATTCCAGGCCGCCTGGGGAAAGCTGATGTATTGGGCCAACTTATTGTAGCAGTATTTCTACTTCAAAGGCCAAGGTGCTATTATAGGTCGAGGCGGGGTCGTAATTCAATGGTCATAAGTAGGAGGGGACGGCATACAAATACTCCTAATGTACTTCTCGGCACGAAGTATTGAAAGCGATGTCATGTTTACCAAAAGAATTCGCGCGGCGATACCAAAGTGCATTTATTGACATTCAGCTTCCTCCAATCGACGTGCTAGGCAAACTCCGACTGCGCAAGGATCTCTCTTTTTGTTTGTTTCGCTGCACCCAGCAGCTGTGCGGGGCAGGGAACTCTTTTGAAGGTTCTCGCCCATAGCTCGTGCGCCAGGGTGCGTGTATGGTTCTGCAAGGCTCATGCATGTTTTTCGGCATGAAGTTGGCCCTCCATGGCTATTTTTGTTCGGCGGGTGATTCTCCAAAACCCGCACGCGACTTGAAGGTAGAGCATGGGGTTTGCACAAAACATCTGTATTGTAGATACTTGGACGACGACGACGAAGACGAAGACGACGACTGCGTTTGTGATGGTTTCCCCGCTCTTGGCTGCGCCTAGCAAGTATCCTACATTCTCACGGCATCACCACATTTCTATTTGACGCCGCAAACTTCGTGCGTGTGTTCGCGTGTGTTTGTTCTTGTAGTACAGGAGTATGATGGCGTCGACCGTGCTCTATAGCCGGCTGACCAATGAAAAAACGTCAGTGTGTGTGTGTGTGTGTGTGTGTGTGTTGTGCCCATGTACTCTGGGCGCCAATCCAATCCACACCTTTCGCTGTGCGTATCATATGTTTGACGTACTTTACCAACCCACGCCACACAGGAGGAAGTTCAACGCGAGTTTCATGTTGATCCTTCTCCTTTCTCTACACCTTCCCTCTTGCGATGTTTTCCTTCGATTCGAAACGCGAGAAAGTGATCGGCAGCAGTGTACATACTCACGACTTCGTGTGCTATCCACTTCGATATCGCGAGGTTTACGGTTTCCCACTTCCGTGGAGATTCGAACCCGCGACCTAGAGCCAGAAACTTTCTCGAGGTGGACGACTGAACCACTCGGCCGCTGTTCGGGTACAGACACGGCCTTGTGTACCCTTTTCTTGCTAATAGTGTGCGTGTTCTTTAGATCTTCTGATGGCTTTAGCATTTTTGTGACCACGGGCCGAGTCTTTGCTAGATTTTGGGATTAGCAACTGACACGATTTTTAATGTGAAGAAAAACAAACAAAAAAAAAAGAAAAAAAACGGCCGGGTGTTAGGGTTGGGTCCGGTTGGGTGTTAGGGTTGGGTCCGGCCGGGTGTTAGGGTTGGGTCCGGCCGGGTGTTAGGGTTGGGTCCGGTTGGGTTACATCCACCTACCGTTCGGGTGCACAGGTTGAACAGAACTGTAGCCCGAGGTGACCTAAGGGACGCCGCCTACACTCTGAATTCGCGTCTGATCCGCTTGTTTTTCCGACGGGCGTGGTGCAGGTTTTAGTATACCGCACTAGATCCTATTCAAAAGACGCTCCCC